CTAAATAAGCTGCATTTTGGAAAATATGCTTTCCCCCCCTCCATTTATTTTTCCTGTTTCTTGTTCAGAGTTGTACAGTCCACTTAGTCGGCTGCCTGATTTACATAATCATGTAGTTATTCTTCAGTTTTTCTGTTCCTATTTATAAACCATTCACAAACCATCCACTTAAGTAACAGCATGATTTATTGTAAGAATGATTATGGTTGTTTCAGAGGGAAAATGGAATGTGATTAAATGAAGAATGAACAAGGACATTCTAGAAACAAAGGGCTCTAATCCCGTGGAAGGATTTGTAAATGAAACCTGCCTCTTAAGCCCCATCCCAAATAGCCATTGAACTACTGGGGGAATTCAGCAGATACCTTTACAGCTGTGCAGCCAAGAGCTTAGCAGAAGACAAAAAATAGATAAAACAAACCAACCAACCATGCCCACACTACCTTTCGGAGAAACGGTAAAGCTCCCAAAGCCATCCACACTTTAGAAAAAAAATAATAATTAATGAACTGTATGTATACAGCTGCTGATATGACCCTCTGAAGACAGCTCTAGAAACAGAACTGCAAGCAGACCTTTGCTCTTGGATGAATTCCAGCATCTGAGATAAATGCATCAGTCAAGGAAAGGGTTGGGTATTTAAGCTGTGGATCCAGAAGAACACAGATTTTCTGTATGCAATAGATGTTTTGCAGGTGCCACAAGAACCCTGACAACCCATGCACCTTACAGAAACTGCGAACAGTCTGATGGAAGGATATCAAAGTTCAGTATTTTCATCTGAAGTATTTATTCCCTGCTATTGCAGAAAGAACAAGTGGTGAAAATCCCTGTTTTTTTACCAGTAACATGGCCATGTTTACAAACCATCTCCCTACCAGGAGCAGCTGAGGGGCTCCACAAAGGAGAAGCTGTGCTACGGAGCCACACTGATCAGGAAAAACAACCATGAGATGAAATCCTGAGTGCTCATACACAGCACTGCTTTCGAACAGTGTTAGTCCGAAATAAGCAGCAGTGATGGATCATATCCTTGCTCATAGACAGATAACCCTGGCCCATTCGGACAGCACATGAACCAGCAAGAACTCGGGAAATCCCACAGTAATTGCTAGAACTGCCTCAGAAATTCATACGGAGTGTTCAGAACGGCACAGTAACTTTTCATGGTAGATTACCATATAAGCAGTGGTTCCCAAACAATGAGGGAGAGATAAGGATATTTTAGGTTAAGCCAAGCGTGGAGCCCAAGAAAATCGGCTTTGCAAGATCTGTGCTGAATGTGTGTGAATTCCCAATTGAAGTAGTCTCAGGAGCTGTGGATGGGCTAAGCTGCGGGACTGATAGAAGGCACCGGTAACACCTGGGCTATGGGGACACTGAAGTTACCCTGAACACTGCTGGTTTTTCAAGAAGAAAGTACCAAATCACTGTTTTCCTAAATAGCACCGTTATTCCAGATAGAGAGAACTCCCCCTGTTCTAGTGCAATTATTTAGATGTGAGTGCTAATGAGCGCAGCTAAGACTGCAGCTACCAGTAATGCCCTGGCAAACAGAAAAACACTGTAGCCTCAATACATAAAAGCTATGTGCTAAAATCTATTTTTACCAAAGAGTACTAGTAGAAGGATGAGAAACTTTAAATTCCAGGGACTCTTCTAAGTTAATTATGTCATCTATGGCTGCAACCAAGACCTAGGGTCTAGCAGTTCTGTGATGCCTTTCTGTCTAGGGGTTGGTACTGGTTTGGTTTCAGACCTGCTCTTGTTAACCAGAGAAATGGGATTCCCCTGACCAGCTAAACTGCTTTTTCTACAAGGACCGATTTTGCGAGGAGCAGCAACAGGTGTCTGCAGCTGCTGCATTTTCGTAGCCAACACTGACTCAAGGGAAGAACCACTGGCAGATGTGTGGTCAGGCTTCCCCCAGTTTTCTTTGCCCAGTTGCTCTGTGTTCACCTGTGCTTTTGCACTGTATGGGGTCTTATGGGAGGGTGGAGGTGGAGCTCTTCTTTTCTTTCCTCTGCTGTCATTAGGACTTGTGGTATCTCCTTTTGGGTCCAGAGGCATGTTCTTCTGAACAGTCATCTCATGAGATCCATCGAAGAGTGAAGCCCATAGGGCAGATGCAGACTCTTTTTGCTGGCCAAGAAGGAACTCACCATCACTCTCTTCAATTTTCCTTTGTATGATATCAGCTAAGCCCTCAAGTTTCACTGGAGAATCAATGCCTGTAATTTTAAGGGACAGCAATTAACTCAGATTAAAGCACTACCAATGATTTTACTGCTACCTATTCTGTTATTAGTACTTAGAACACAAAACTGTATTAATTATGTCTCATGAAGTCTGGACTATTTTTAGGAGTATTAATGGATGAAAAGGAAAAGACAACATATGCTTTCACAGAGAGAACTGAGGTGACAGGAGGGAACTGTTTCTGTGACAACTGGCATTTAGGCAACAGGGTGGGCACTGATATTTCTTTCCAAGTAAAAGTAGAAAAAATAATGTACTGAGAAACCTGTATGTATTAGATATTAAACACATTTTGTTGTATAGTACTTTGAAAATTTCGTTTCACAGGAGGCTCATGAAAAAGTTTATGACTAAATATTCTTGTGCTGCCAGCCTGCTGAAAATGGGACATCTTTACATATATCATTTTTCTCTATGTGGTTTAAGACTGCCTTGTTCCATTTCTTATTCCTGAGTTTTCTATGTATATTGAAGTAATACCAGCCTCAAACAGCAGCAGTACCATCTCTGTTGCAGGCGACACATTAATGATTTTCAACACATTTTTAACACAGGGTTTTACTTATAGAATCACTTGGCTACAACTCCCTTTCATGCAGTGCTAGAGAGCAATAAGGTCCCTCCTGAGCCTCCTTTTCTCCAGGCTAAACACCCTCAGCTCCCTGAGCTGCTCCTCATCAGACTTGTGCTCCAGACCCTTCCCCAGACCCTTCCCCAGACCTGTTGCCCTTCTCTGTACATGCTCCAGCCCTGTTAGTCTTTCTTGTAGTGAGGGGCCCAAAACTGAACACAGGATTTGAGGCATGGCCCCACCAGTGCCAAGTACAGGGGACTACAAATACTATAAATAAGCAGAAAAGAAAGTGGGGTATTAAGAGTAAAGCAGAGTTTGTGTTCTGCCTCACTGATGTACTCATCTCTCAGTGGAATTATGCTACCATGGTACCTTTGTAAAACGTCCATGTGGTTCATTTACTGCATTTCTGCCCTGCATTCATAGCTTAGATAAGACTCTTTTGACTGTTCAGTGCTCTGATGCACAGTAACTCAATGACCCACACAGCATTTTGAGCATCTTCACAGTTCCCATCCCAAGCAGGAAGCAGTCAGGCATTTACAGTTGTACAGGGTTTCTCAGTCAATACTGCATTGGATCCATTAAAACAAAGTGACCTACTTTTTCTAGTGTGTAAATATTATTTCTGTAATGAAACTATTAAAATAATCCTGCTGCATACCATTTTGCTCTGCGAAAATACAAATCTCGAATACACTCTAGCTAGGTTTTTCTAGCATATTTTTCAGTATCACTATCAAAGACCAAATAATTAGGTAAGTTATGCTAGGTAAGCCTTTAAATAGCTTTAAGATCAGCAGATTAATTTCATGCAACTGGTTTGCAGGCTGGACTATTTTACCTTTACATTTCCTGAGCTTTATACTACTCTTACCATGAATGTTTATTTCTAGTGACAGCTTTTTTAAATGTGTTCAGGGCTCTCTAGTTACAGTTCAGATTGCAGAATTTTTAGCTCAAGGTATAAAAATGTATTCATTATTTGTGCTATTACAAATTCAGATTTAATATGAACTCCTTGGTATGCAATTATGTTGCTCTTTCATTGTCTGAATTGTCCTTGAAAAACTCAGTATTTCAACATCAACACCAGAAGCCATTTGAACACAGACAATGTTGTTTCTGTTACCCTGCAACGTGAAAAGGCAAATCCCACTTACTCATATCATGGTAGACGGAGGTCGCTTCCTTTGTCAAGAACAAAGGTGGTTTCCGTGGTGACATAATCTCAATTTTCATAAGTTCCTCACAACAATGTTTCCACTGGCCTGAGAGAGAAAAGAGAACAATGACTGGAACTTAAACACTTCAGCCTAGAAAAAAAATGGAAGTTATTAGGTTGTGTTAGGAAACTATCTCCAAAGCAATACTAAACAGTGAGCACTTATTTTTGTTTAGCAGGAATGGTCAGGATGCATTTGTATTTTCACCTCTGTACTCATTCTCTTAGCACAAAGATCATGAGTTACTGTAATTTAAGCATCCCAGCACTATTGTTACACTATGAAGGGTAATGGTCATAATTTGCCTGTAAAACTCCAAACAAAGTATAAATCCATCAGAAAAAAAAAACAACACCAAAAAAAAAAAAATTTAAGGTTCAGGAAGCTTCATGAAGTTATGAGGGACAATATCCAATATCCTGCAAGCTGGATGTTATACAGCTGTGTTACAACGTTATGGCAAAGGAATATTCTGTCTTTAATAGAGGATAACTTGCCTTTTATCCGTTAGTAGACAAGGAAACCTCTTTTTCTATTAATAGATTTTGACCTTAAGGAAAACAAGACACAGTAAAATTACTTTGTTCATACCAATCATTCCAAGTTTTCTGAGCACATTAATTTTAAGAGAATTTTAGAACCAGGGAAGAAAAAAGGCATTTAAATGCCAAGTGACCCAGTTTTTCTGAATCTAAGGAAAATGTCTCAAAAAATCCATGGGTATTCTATCTATAATGAATAAGAAGTAGTTCTTTTACCCCAGTCTACAGATAATTTAAAGAGGATGCCCTAGTTTTTGCTTGGTGTGTTTCTCTAATTGATAGTTCCCTTTCTCATTGTAAATCAGAGCTAGAAATAACTAGAACTACAACTACAATACTGAGTTTCCACAATCTCAATTCACTTATTTTATTGGTGTTGTCTCAGACTAAAGACTGGTATTTCATTAATTGACCTGGTTCTGTTTTCTGGCCCAATAAAAATGACTATCAGGAATCTACTCTACCTTGTCAGTGGCAGCACAACAACTGACAGTCTCTACTCTCAATAACTCTATGAGTCAAACTACTAAAGCAGAGGAAAAAGACACAGGTAAATGAATCTGTGTAGTTTTTGCAATGAATATTTGGTGTTAAGCAAGCAACACACTATACTATTTTAGTAACGTTTCACTGTTTCACACCAATAAATTAGTTTCTTCTCTCATATAAGATCAGTGTTGTTGCAGAGGTTTGCCAAAAGCATCAGGGTAACAATTTAAAATCTGTTACAAAGCCTCAGGTACAGCTTTTGCCAGGTTCAGGTAAGCAGCCTGTATTTGCATGGCTGGACTAGAGTGTGGCTTGGTGAGCATATTCCTGTATGACAAGGGGTACCGAAACCTTTGAATTACCAACAGAATCAAGTAATCCCTGTTATAACAAATTGCAATTTAATTCATCCATAACACTGTTGAGCAAGGAAATCCCATGGACACATGCCTAGTTGAAAGAGCTGGCTGAATCCACAACCTAGATGATTCCAGCATCCTCACCAATTCCCACTAAGGCTTCCATACTAAGATTTCATGCTTGCAGAATCTCACAAAACCAACACACCACTGGTAGGATGCCCAGGCACAGGTGGACTCTTCCCAACACAGTGAAGGAAGAGATGGTGAGAATTTAGCAGTCCTTAAAAAAAAATTATCTAGAAAACTTCCAAAAGAGACCAAGTCCTTTTGAGATTGATGAGCATATTCTGCCTCTGGTTTCCTGCAAAAAAACCAGATTGAACACACGGACTTTGGTTTAGTCAAATATTTGCCTTCCAACGGCTTAGACCACCACCCAATATTATCCCAGAGAACATTTTTCTTCTCGTCGTTGCAAACAAAGGCTTATGAGGCAATTCCAATTCCAATTGCTCAAAGATCCCTTTGATGTTACATAATGCCCCACTCGGAGGGCACGCTGCCAGCACTGCCTGCTTACTTACTCAGATCATAAAAGTGCTGCCAGAAAGCCTCCATCCACTTGTGAAGTTCATCCCTACTGTCAGTAGCGAAGTGTTGCGTCACAGCCTCGCCAGACACGGGGTTGATAACAGAGAATTTATTAGTTCTCCTCCTGGAGTCCTTATCCACAGCTCGAATTCTGGTTTCCTAGGAACGACAAACTGTGGTAATGAGTTATTGCTTCAGCTCCACGCTGGCATCACCTTATGGCCAATGACAGTGTAAGGAAGGTATCATTTGGCTTTGTATCTCATCCAGATTAATTTCCAATTAAAAAAAAAAAAATGAACTAATGTTAGGAACTGATTATAAAAATGTTTTCTCATAAAACTATTCAAATGGCACAAAATATGTGAAAAGTAATGGAATGGAGTGCAATTATTGCAGTTTAGTTCTGAATTACAGGATGTACGTTCTGTGTTTCCCCTCCCTCTGCTTCACCTGCTCATCTCACACTGCTCCCTTTTCTCCACAGCAGTTTAACAAATAATCTAAAATAACAGCAAGCAGCTCCTTTTCTCCGTATGATTCAGATGGACAACCACGTTGTTACAGCTACTACTTAGGTCTCCTACTGCATTTCTGTGGGATATTGTTTACCCAATTCTAAACTTTTATCCATTTTATGTTCACCTTAGTGAATCAGAACATGCAGGGCTGAAAAAACAGTGACAGAAATTTAAAAAGAAACTTACCTAGTCCATTTCAAAATGGACATTTGAGTTTTACCTTAATTAGGGAGAGCTACATAGAAAGAATTAAATACATATAAAGAAGTATATGACAAGTCTATAAATTTCTTTAGCTAGAGTTAGAAAGGCTCTCAGATTACACAGCACTGTTACAGCCAAGGTTTTCCATTCTGTTCAGGGATGCAGTTCAATTGATTTTTACCATCCAGATTAGATCCAGTGGTATTTTCAGAGTATCCAGTTTCTTTGTTATGGTATTACTACAATTAAAAAAAAAGGCACTTATCCCCAACTAAGTGATTTATTTTTTGTGTGTAAAATGCTGAAAGACTTTAGAAAAAGTCTGATACAAAATGCAACTAAAAAAAATCCAGAACGCAACTGATCAATTGCTGCTCATCACAAACATGATGAGCAAATTCAAGTAATTAACACCACTTTACTTACAAAAGTAAAGCAGAAAAATTGGGAATATCTTTGCACCTACAATTCAACTTGACTGAAGAAGCAATGGCCCATTACAACATGGCTCTTCAGAGGAGTTTGACCAAAAGGTGGCTTTGGGGCATTCCTCAAAATACAGTGGGGACAGAACAACCAGTTCCCTTTTACACAGCTCAACCAGATGTCAAACATCTGCTAAAGATGTTAAACGTATACCTACAGAAATTAGGTTTACACATGGGATCCCATGGGGATAAGCCTAGTTCCAATACTCAGAAAAACAAAAATTATTCTACAGAACATTCCCCAGATTTTAAATGCATTACTGAAGTAACCATTTGAAATACCAACAGCTGCTTGTAGCATATCTGATGGATATGCTCATTTAAATTCTTCTGTCTAAAAATAGGAGATGAAGTAATTCATCCATAAGTGCTCTATATCCCATTAACTCAGGTAACCATAGATACCAGCAAAAAAATGAAATCAAATAGATTAACATTTGACAGGTAAGAACTTCAAGCATACCATACACACAAGTTTATTTAATGATGTTTGCTGCAGGTTTTATCCCACAACTCTGGGATTATTCAAAGGAGATAAATCCTCAAGCAACAATCTATATCTGATGCTTGGATATTTCAGGAGTGATACAAGATGCCATTACAGTAATGGGCTGATGAATTTACCAAGCTTGGGTGAATTACACTACATGCCCAGTTCCACTTAACAACAGAAAAACCCAAAACAACAAAAAAAAGCCATTAAACAAACAAACAAAACCACCCACCCCACCCCTAAACAACAACAAAAAGTGTTTTAAGTTACCATGTTCTAATAATGATCAATCTCTCCCAGCCTTATAAGACAATTGAACCAACTCTGCTATAGCAATTGTAAAGACCAGAAGAATCAGTGCATCAGAACAGGAAAAACAGCTGAATCTTGAACTTAAGTGACTCTTCTGGGAAAGCTGAAGCCAGTTTTATGTTCTATATGCAAATGATTATTCCTGTGAAGATGGGGAAAGACTTAAAGGGAAAATGATATGATTTTTGTAATGAAGAACCTTCCTTTATACTTTTCCCCCAAAATAAAAAAATCTCTTTGCCTGATAATACCTCTCTGAAAAGCTCATATTTTAAGCTAAAAAGAAAACAAAAAAAAGCAGAGAGAGAGAGAGAAAACTTTTTTATTGCTGAGGTGCAACACTTTCCTGCTAAGCCAGTCCTGACACAGTAAGAAGCACTGGTTATAAAGACCATTTGAAGATATCAAAACAAATTACAGTTCTTGAGAAAAATATTGAATAACCTAAGACCCGGTTCGTGTATCTATTTTAAGATTAAAACAAATCAAATAATATCTAACAAAATTCCTTCATGTTTTCAGTACCAAAAAAAAAAACCAACCAAGAAATAATAGTACAACAATGGAAACCCAATATAACCTGTGCACACATTGGTTCCTTTTGTAATGTTAATAATTTCCATTTGTTTGGGGCAAGTAGGGAACTATTGCTAAATTTAAAATTGTGTTCTTCAAACACATTAATGCACAAGACCAAAATCACTCCATCAGGTAATATTTTCTCTCTTCATTGTTTTGTGAACTTGTATTAATGTAACATCCTCACGGCCACTGGACGGTAAGTACAACGTTTAAGTATAACATGGAAAAGCAACCTTAGGATATCTGTGCCATTTTAACCATCTTTGGAGCACCACAGCAGCTGAAAACACAGAGAAGGAGATGGCAATACATGACCTGGCAATACATGTTTTGTGGAGCACCAGGGAGCCATAAAGCAGCTTCCAAACCCCTCAATCTGAGCACGCATGTTACAAGGTCCAGCGTGTGGGATGTGGGTATTCTCTCTGCTTCCCCTGCCCACATCCAACATCTCTTTCAAGCAACTGCAAGGCTAAACTGAGCAATGGGATACAAGGTACCAGACATTTGGAGGCACCTAACTAGTCTGTGCCTTTCCAAAATATTTTCACATGTATGAAGCAGTGGGACAAAGTCCTTACTCCCAAGAATATCGATATTTTCAGGGCTGATCTCGTTTCCCTGTGCTGGAGTTTCCCGCACATACAGAGAACATTGCTCACGTTGCTGGCTCCCTAAAAGCTTATATGGCCAAGAACTCATATAGATATTCCCCTGCTCCCGCCCAAGGACAAACTCCCTGGTTCTCTAGAAATACTGCATGGCTCCCTCCAAGTTATGCTGCTGCAACCATCGCCACATTTTCCAACGAATTTCTCTACCTGACCTAGTCCACAACAGATGTTCCAACAGGAACTGTCACTCAAGGCAAGGCCAGCTTGATTCTGTCCTTTCCCTCCTGCTGCACAGTTTAGTAACTGGCCAATGAACCCCTCAGTCACCAGCACGGACATGGAGACAGCTCTGGGCCTGCATGGCACCAGGACTAAGACTGAACCAGCAAAATATGCCAGGAAGGAAATCACAGGACTACAGCAGTTTGAATCAACATCCCAGAATTCTTCAAGCTTCAGGCATCCATGGCACAAAAAGAAAATTACAATTTATGAACAGAGCACAACAGATTATGTATTCCAAACACTGAGAAACCATGTGAACTGCTGGCACATGCACCGATTTGCTAAGCTATCAGTTGTAGGCAAGGTCCTTTATTTTTCATTTCAAACTAAAGAAAACTTGAAAAAAAATCAGGAACTAGCCCATAAGGAATATTTCTTCAAATTGGATTCCAGTAAATTTTCTTTGCTACAGAAAATATAATTTCTCTTCTCCTACTTAGTTGTGCAATATAATATGTTATAATCACATTTAGCTGGAACAATAATAGTAGCACTTGCATAATAGGAACTGCAGAACCATTCTTGCTTAACAGCAGTAGCAGTGAAGTCATCTGAAGTTGAAGTAATGACTTTGCTGGTCTTAATGGCTTCTTCAAGTCTCCATTCAAAGGGAATGGGAAATAAGGCTATCAGTGTGAATATTTTCCAGAGAGTTTCTCATAAATCCAGATGATTTCATTACTTTTTGGAAAGTATCTTTCAATTACATGTAAAGGATCAGCTTCACATTACAAATGAAAATGCCACATTTGCAACCAGAAGAAATTTTAGTTAGAACGTCTGGAATTGGTGTTCAATCTCAACTTTCATTTCGAAATTGCTGTTTCTATAACAACATGAAGCAGACAAGCCCTTATGATTAGTCTGCTTTCATTTAATCCATAAGAGAAATTTCATAACAAAGGAATCAAAAAATATCTGCAGGCATTAAGTTATTTTCAAGAGAAACTGTTTAAGTAGTAAAGTATCCAAATATGTTTTCAATTGCGATATCTTTTTTTCTAGTTTTAATTTAAATTGAAGAAAGATTCACAGACAGTGAATAGCAGCCTGACACTTGTAAAATGGTATAAGATACATGATTTATGTACCTTCTGCATGTTAGCTTTAAGGATACTCTGCAAACGAAAGGACAGTCTCCCAGGAAAGGTTTATTAAGATGGATTTTAGGTTCTAAGTGTATTGGTAACTTGGAGGAGCGAAATATCTTAGCAGATATGGTTATTTTATAAGAAAAAACAAAACTAGGATATAGACTCAGAGACCTCCAAGGAAAAATATGAGACAGCCTGATAGATAATTTTAAAAAATATTCCTGTCACAATTGGGAACATGGATTTAGTCATTCTATAATTTACAGAAGTTTGCCATTTCTTAATTGATATTGTGAAGAGCTAGAAAACAGAATTATGGCAGAGGCTGACTAGTGCAATTAGAAGTGGCTAAAAAGGTAAGCAAGTAAACCTACTTAAATATATATCACAATCTAAATATTTATTTTACCTAAATGGATGAACAGTTGGAAGAAAACATGTTAAAAGATACAGCACTAGAAAAAAAGGTATTTTCATTTAAGGAATCAATTTAAATCTTAGCTTGTTAAAAAATAAGTCCTAACACAAACAGGTCACATTGTTATACGCTGTTTAAACATTTGGGTTATATACCAGTCTCACTCTGGGTGAGATTGCAGCTGGCTTTTCCAGAAGCCACCAAAAGCTGATATTGCTGTTGTAAGAAGCAGTCCTTTATTACTCTGTGTCCCTACGTATTCCCAATCACAGCTGAGCCCCTTCCTTGTACCACAGCAGCACCTGTGTAGCCATGTAATGAACCGGGTAAGAGAACTTATTAAAGGGAACCACAGTCAAAGCCACCCCTCCTCGTGCCCCCCAGATGAACTAACTTTAACCCACATCAGTTCCCTTGTCCAATTCATCAGTCAGCTGCCCCAGTGCCTGCCCTGGCACGGAGCAGCACAGCAGCTGAACAAGCGACTGGACGGCAGGAATGCTTCCCTTGGAATTAGTGTTGGCACCAGGCGCTCGCAGCAGCACGGCAGCGGAATCCAGATCGACCTGTGCTCAACACAGCTTCCAAACGTGTCTGTTTAGTTATGTAAGATGAACCCAGCTATGTCGATTGCAAACAACATTAAATTCCTCTGCCCATCCTTATGGGAAATTAACCCTTGATGACTGCACCAGAATCAGTTTTTGAGAGTATGTGTTCCCACTAATGCTCACCATTCTAGAAGGTCCTTTCAATAACATTCCTAAAGTGAATATTTAAATATTACTTCAGATTAAATACTTTCTGTTTCTTTAGCCAAATACTAAATAACACTTCAAGTGTAAAAACGTGAAGTTTTAAACTCAGCCTTTCCAATCAGGGTATATAAAAACAGCAGTAATGTCATCTTGAAGAACAGATGTTCCAAAGTTATTGTGCCCTGAACAAAACCAGTATTAAGAAAAGCAGCTTATTTTAAGGCACTAAAATATTTTGAACAATTTTCCAATTCTCCTTCTAATTAAGACTGTGGCCAAATAACACACCACAACAAAAAAGCTTTTGTTAAAACTCCAACTTGCTGAGGACAAAAGTCTACCAGAGCATTGCTAGGGGACTGCAAGCAGGGCTGTCTTACGGAACTGTCATATAAGAAGTTATTACTTGTCCTAAATAAAAACATCCTCCTTTTTGCCTCTATGCTAACCAGTCTAATGCAACGGAAGGAACTTACATCCACAGCTAAGAAATGTAACGTCCCTGAAAAAAAAATTCAGCGACTGAAAATTTCACTGAAGCACGTCCCACCCACATACATCTTAAACCAAAAAGAACCTCCACCAAAATGAAAAAAAAGAAGACCCAAACAAAAAAAAAAACAAAACACCAAAAAAACCAACAAACTAGCAAACAAAAAAACAAAAAAGAACCCAAAATCAAAAACTCCATAAAACCAATTTTACCTTGTTGACGAAAACTGTCAATGTTGGCTCCAGCTTGGCCTCAATTTCTTCTGGTGAGTAATAACAAAAGAGTTTGCCACCTCTTAGTACGCAATACAGCCTCCGCCAGCTCGTTAGACCTCCTACTGTTTGCTGAAGGGAAGAAGTCGTCAGAAATTGCCAAACAAACATAAAACAAGACCATATTACAAGGTATACACATATCAGACCTGATGATCAAAATTTAGCCAAACCAAATTCGTTCCTAAAACAAAGACTCTCTGTTGCAGAACACTTCAGTCACTGATTTCTGAAATGTTAGCAGTACTTTAAATGTCTTCTGGTGTTTTACAGTTTTTGGAGATTTATTGCCATGTGACACTAACAGCACAGAGTCTGCTGGTTCACACAGAATGAAATCTATATCTGGTGTCTCTTGTAAGAAAGAAACCACCTTTATTAGCTACAGTAATTGCACAATAAGAGAAATAAAAAGAGTATTTCACTTTGGAAATACACAGTACATTCAACAAATGTTAAGCAAAGACATTTGTCTAGAATTTCCACTTTCTCAAATGAATTTTCTGAACAGCTTTCATAAATGCATTACAGTTTCACAACCAGTTTAAAGCCTGTAATTCAGCACTCCTGATAATGACCCAGACCCTCTGGCCTTCCGCTATCACCTTCTCATATGCCTGGTTGTGCAACGAACCAAAATAGAGAAGTAAAGTGAGTTCACATGAATCATTTCTGAAGGGATGAGTTTAAATACGGCTCAGTTCCCCAGCCCGACTCACCATGCTGTGATATGAACTTTTGTGCCAGTAGAGAGGTGTGTACAAGGATGAGAGCTGCAGGATTATTAGAACTGCTACCATCAAGTACCAGCCTAAACCAATTCTGAAACAACAATTATACTTGATCTTTGCCTAGCAGCCTAAATCATTTTATTGATAAGCACACCAAAGAAACATTTACTTCTCCATGCTTAGCCACTGAAGATACTGTTTGTGAACGCAGCTGTGAGAGTTTTCTTGCTCTAGGTAGAATGGGTGAAAAACAGCAGTTCTCAATAAACCACTCCAGGTAAAAGCAAATGTTTTAACAATTGACTCTTAGTGACAGCTATTAACAGAAGAGGATGTAAACACAAGCAAGGTCTTCTTACCTGCTGATTTAGAAATCCTGCCATCATATCCCTGGCCATGCAGGAGGGCTGAGCAACTAAACGGCAACACATGTTTCCATACAGGGGGAGCCAAAAAGAGGATTCCTCTGGGGTAAAAAAATACAGGAAAAAGATAGGCAAACACTTAGTTCTGGATACTGGCCCTAAATACACAGTTTAGCTTGCTACATCCATTTTTATATTAAGACTACGAATCTAAATAAGCATTTTCTCATATTTTAAGGAAGAGATTTCTTCCTGTAGTATTCGACTAAAACTGATGTTTAGTCCTCAGTAAGATTTTTTAATAAAAAAAAAATTCCAAACTAACTTCAAGTAAAAATGGAAATATTGTTCTTCAAGAACAAGTCGTTGTTACATAAAATATAACTCTAAATCTCATTTCACAGCTAGAAACATTCTGAAAGATAAATACCCTGGCCCTCTCATCTAGGAGGATCCCAAAGCGTATCCCATTGTGGCCCACAGCTACATTTACACTTACAGCTTAGAATTTGTATCTAGTTCTGTCTTAAGCACTAGAAGAGCATTTAGGATTCCAAGGAGTTTCTATTGAATTGGAATATCCCTCCTCACCACTATGCCATAGGCTCTCTCTCTGTAATTAGAAGTAGGTAATGCAATGTTCCATTGACGTGACTCTGTCTCTGGTCATGGTTTAGAACTGCTTGTAATGAACCAAAATATCCAGGTATGTCCTTTCTCACCAGACTAAATTAAGTAAATTAATGACAGAAAAAGGAACTTGAAGAAGAGAGAGTATGAAGTACTAATAAAGAAATGTTTACAAATATCAAAGATACTCAGAATTATTCATCCAACCTTTCAAGAAACAAATGCTCCATAAATCTTCAAATCTGTACGTATTTAGAATTACTGAAATGTAAAGTAGGAAATTCCCTCTGAGGTCAAGTTTACTCAAGTAAAAGAAAGTTCCCTGAAGCAACAGTGAAAGTCCCATGCCTTAAACTAACAGCTAGAGGGTGGATTATGTGAGGGACTATCCTTGCAGAAAACAACGGTCAAAGTACCCAAAACTGCAACTTAAAACATCACCATCAGTTGCACCATAATCACTGTCCCTGTAGCGTCAGCATCTCCCAGCCTGTGCTGCCCCAGAGCTTAGTGCAGCTTATGCCCTGTGTTAAATCTGGGCCTCAACCAACCTCGCTGAACTGAAGCTATTTTTCTTCTTTCCTTCTGACTGCAGAGAAAAAAAAGCTGTTCTTCATTCCGATACCCTTCCTTGGTTGTAAGGAAGGTGAAATAATTTGTATATAGCTACAACTCACATAAGACTGAGATGCAAATGACAGAAGAAACTCCCAAAAGAATTAAATTTTCATCTGGACTTGAAATTTTACTCAACTTGTAGTTTATTCAGCTGTGTACAGATGCCTGTTTTAGAGCCGTTAAATATTTTATTAAAGTTGTTCTATATTAAGTATCAAGAAAAATAATCTCTTTAAGCTCTTTAGTTTACAAGAGCTTAATGCAAAATGTTACTGGTTTTTTATTTCCTTAAATTGGTACCATATGTACTTACCATTTCCTGTAATGGTAAGGTTGTGGGTCCTGAAATTGTCCTCAGCACTCTCCAGCCCCAAAGTGGTATATGCCAGCAAACTGTACTTTGCTCCACTAAATGTGAACAAAAAGGCACGTTTAAGACATTTCTGCTTCATGTTGCTCAGGTGGTAATTAAAGGGAGTCTAGACAGGTCTGAGATATCATATTTGGGTACAAGGGAACTCCAAGGTGCAAGGCAGCACCTCTCAGTGACCACAGATTGCCACCCCACACAACTCCCATGTCTCTGGTTTTCCTTGTGAACAAACACTGTTCCACAATCCGTTCATCTCCTTGCTATATCCCGATCTCCTGCCTCCATGTGCACCTCCAGTTCCCCCGCACCCCACAACTTCCAGGTCAATGCCAAGAGGCCCCATCAGGTGGCTCCTTCCATTGTCTCCTCTCTGGGACTTACTGGCCAGGAGAACTCCCTTGTGGCCCGTGCCTCTGAGCTGGGCTTGTGCTTCCTGGGGAGCCAGCAGCTGCCAAACCCAGGGATAAAGGCTGTGCTATCCAAACCCTGAGGATGCTCAAAGCATCTCCCTCCTCTAGGCAGACATCAAGTAACTTTTAATAGTTTTTCAGCTCTTACTGCTAGGCCTAAAGCAATTAGATTTGGTAATAGGTTCAAAAATTCCTACAGTTAATAGAACAACTGATGACATAAACTTTATCTGAAAATACAGGTTAAAAATTAAAAGGCATTAACTGCTTCTCCGTGTTGATCTGCTCTTTTACTTTGCCTGTGCGGACTACACTTTATAAAAGAGTTGTTGATAAATGTATTTTTAATAGTATCTAATAGATGGATTCTTCCCATGCAGAAATCTGTGCAGAAATCCTACAGTCAGTTTTGTAGCATAAAGGATTTTTTCCCTTATTGTGCTTAAAGGTTTCATAATGTTTTATCTTTGTTTTGTGTTTTGCCTGGGGGGGGTTGGAAATTCCTCTTACAGTCCAGCACAGTGCATGTGGAAAGGAATTCTTGGAATAAACTGGTAATAAATTTGGTATGTTTAACCTTTTCCCTAAAATACTCATCAGACCAAGTAACAGATTTACAGTCCAGCAATGCAGTAAGAATTTCACCTGGCTAATGGCAGCTTGAACAGAGTTCACAGGAAAACAACCCCCTCAAAAATCACTAACTACTCTCCCTAACAGGATCTAGCACAAGATCCTTACAATATCTTCAGTAGTGCATAAGAAAACCTAGTGGTGTAAAAGGTCAGAAGACACTACTGAACCAAATCACTAAAAAATAATTTTCTATCATAATATTTTTCAAATCTTGTTTTTCCTAACAGCACAGTGGGAACATACAGCTTTAAAATCTTTGTCTCTGCCAATGAACAAGGCAGATGTCTGCCTACCCCCAACCCTAATGGAAGAGGAGGACGAAAAGGAGCAAGTTTGTTAGCAGGGAGGTCTGATACACATCTGTCTCAAGGGAATAAAGAGAAAATTAAATACGTTATAACATTCTGGGTGAAAAAACACTGCTGTGAAGCATTTCAAGAGGGCAATCTGAACAAAAACTCATCAGCATTTGTATATATTCTCTGCTAGACTGTTCCCTAACAAAAGATTCTCCAGTGATTATGTTTGGGCATGCAGTTGAGCAATGCATTACCATTCTATCTAAACCATACCAAAAAGTTCAGTTTCTTCTCACAGATAAAACTGCTGTGCTGATTTTAAAGTTGCTTTTTTTTCTAAAGCATGACTAATTACAACAACAACCTTGCCAAAATAAATAGCTACTTCACTTTTAAAATATGCTTCACAGTAACATTTTCATTCTAAAATACAAGTCATTCCTTTCAGGCAGCTGCAATATAATCTAGAAAAGTTTTATCTACAAGTATTTTTCAAATTTAACTGGTTAATCAGGATTGTTAACTATGTTTTTTCTCTGCATTTCACAGAATTATCAAACTGCCTTAAATGGCAGTTTCTTTGTATAACAAAGAGTAATCTGCCTGCTGCATCTCATTCAGTACTTTGCATATCTATAGTATTTTTCCATGTAATAACTTCATTTGAAAAAAAAAAGTCAGCTCATCTCCACAACATGCCTGTGGCAAAGGCTCATTGTTAAATTTGTTTACTGATCAAGAGACAGAGGCACAGAATTTGCCACACAGACACTGGTATGGGAAGGTGTAACTATACCACCCTTTCTAGAAATGCATGTTAATCAATGTATTTCCAATTTCAGAATCTGTTCCTGAATATTAAACACAGTGTTAGAAATCCCAGTCTTAGTTCACTCACTCAAATAGATCGAGTGGAAGACTGGGGAGTCAAAGAAAAAAAAAATCCAACATGCTCACTTTTCAATCAGATCTTAAATAATAGAAAGTAAAACCAAATACAACCTTCAGGTATTAACAAGAACCCAACGATAAAAGTGAGGCCACTAGATTAAACTATGTACTTCCTGCAAAATATCACCAGGGATTTGCCAATTCAAACATAGCACATGGAAGCAGAGCTGTGCCTTCAGCCCAGTGGGGGACAATACATCAAACCCAACAGCAAGTGCCTGTGATGCCAGTTCTGCAAGTGAATAAACATGCACTTCAGGGAGACTCTCCAATAATTTATCCAGAGAGCAACATGGTTACTCTGAAATTCAATAGTATAACTGCACTGAAGATTTTTCTTCTATGACAAATGTGAAAAGAAAAAAAACCAATATTTAAAATACAACAGAAAAATTAAGCAGGCAAAAGACCATCTACAAGTTAAAAGAGAGATAATTAAGAGATAATATAACTCAAGTTAACCAACCTAAGCAACCATTCAAAGTACTTTTTCACTAAGCTTTTGCAAGAAGTTACAAGTCTGACTGTTTCCTCACTAACCAGAGAGATTTCTAAGCCAAGGAGTTTGACAAAGAGGGATCACAGAGTTTTTGGAAAATGGAGAATTTCACTCATGTGTGCTCTGAAACGAAAAAGGTTTGTACAAATGAAATCTACAGAGAAAAGGTGTTCACATAATACAGAAAGTTCACCTTTTTGTTGCGGTTTAATTTCCCCTGCTGGACTGGTAAAACTCTCTGGGAATACTTGAAAGATCTCTTGTAATCTTGCAATCTCTTCCCCTTTATAAGGGCTACATACCAAGGTCTTACTAATATAAATCCAAAGGGGAGCCTATAAAAAAATTGACAGCTTATTTTCTGCCTATAATAACCCATTTCTTTCCAAGGAACTTTTTTAATCACCCAGCAAAGCCACCATTAACCACTTCATTGTTCATTTAACTCTGTTAAGAAAGTAACAGTCACTGTGAGACGATTATCTACAGCAGAAACAACAAACTTCCAAGGTAGAAGAAAGGAAAATTCAATTGAGAAACCAAAAGCAAAACCCAAGGGAGGAGGCAGCTGTTTGAATTGTCTGCTGGTGCCTCTTCCTTAAAAGACAGGCAATCTATATTCAAGCAAATAAGCCAGTGGTTATATCTGATTCAAACTGTGTCTAATGATAGCGTGTCATGGCCCAGCTGAAGCTGGTGGAAAGCACAGCCACCTGACATGATGCAGATTGAAAAATACCTTGTCATTAGGTGGAACCCACTGGAAAGTTAGCGATAAAATTCCCTTTGCTCTGGTGGATAAGATCTCTTGGATGTCTATTTTTGAGTCAAACAGTAATATCAGTATACAGTAGTATCAGTTTGACAAAGACAGAATATGCTTGAATGTTTCCTTCTAAAAATCACAGGAAATAGATGTATGAAGCTAGACTAAGACTACACTCAACACCTGGCAAGTATTAAGCATTGATTCTTTACTTCTCAGCTGCCAAAAAAAGTAATTTCTTGAAAAAATTGCTTTCTGAAAAAGAAAAAACAAAAGCAACAAAACCCCACCAGTATTATTAGCATTTGCAAATTAGGTATTTGGCTTTCTTAAATCTCAATGAAATTAAAGTAGCTGGAAAATATTAGAAGGCAGTTAATTTCATTAGAAAATGTATGCAAGACTAAAGATCATTTTTAAAAGGAAACAGGTAAATTATTGGGAACAGCACTTATATCTATGAACACTGAAAACCAGTAAGTCATTCTAAAACATTCTGTGCTAAAGGCAATTAAGAAATCTCCTGTTAAGCAGCTTGTAACTGTAAAGTGCCTTCGGCAGTCCAGAGTTTTACTGACAAGCCAGAAGGGGAATTAGGGGAGAAGGTACAAGGGTGGTTTCTCCTGCCTACATACACACCTTTTCATTCACACAACTTGTAACTTTCAGACACGTCTACCTGTCAACCGTCAAGTATGAGCAAAACTGGCCAGGTGCAAAAATAGAATGGGGGAGAGAGTAAACGGGAAAGGTGGATGGACAGAGGGACACAGACAGACTGACTGTACAGGCTTGACTTCTTCTAGAGATCAAACCAAAAATATTATAGAGTTTGCAAAGAATAGTGGATTTACCAGCTGCAGAGCAGAAAGATAAAGCCTACTCGTGTTTCAAGATCAGAACCAGGCCCCAAGGCTCAGCGACATGGTTGGAATTCACACCTACTTTCTCATTTCCTATTTAAAATGTAAATTTTTTTCACTTGGGCAAATACACAAAGAATCAGTTTCTTGGCAGTTTTCCAAAAATTTACAATATATTTGGCTTATTTCTATTTTAAAAGGTATAAAACCAGAATATCAATATATATGGCTTACGGGATGACTGGGTCAGCAGGCAAAAGGGATTCAGTGCTGTCTTCTTCCAGGGCAGCTTTGAGTTTCTTCCCTGTAGCTTTGCTGAGGGACGTTTTAAGCTTCTTTGCTAGTTTCTTAGGAGTGTTTGTTATACATAAAGACTCCTCTGTGCAGCAACTATACACTTCAACCTTCACCTGGAAATCTGGTCTTGCTTCATCACTGAAGGGGGGGAGGAAAATTTCAGAACATTTGTTAATAAACTGTGCATGCAGCCAAGGACTGCTGCTGCTACTTTATGTATTAAATAACGTATTTCCAATCAAGGGGAGGAATGCCATGAGATTCAGGCACAGACATACATTAATATGGAATTAAGGACTAGAGTACACAGCAGTAACTTAGTGTTGAAGTCATGAGATGAATGTTATAATTGAACCATAAACAATTACAAACAGGAAATTCAACGTTTAGGTTAAAAACTGAAAAAAACAGCCCATGTTATGGAAATACACAGGCAAGACACTCAAACACACTTAAATCTGCCCTCTACTGTTACACAAAAATCACATGATTGAAAACCTATCCATATCTATGGTCCTAAATCATATTGAACTGTTTTTAAGATATCTTAGTTGCACCCCACACCCTTCACATTACCGAAAAAGATCCTATCTTGCTCAGATCTAATGAAATCTGTCGTTCATAACGCAACTACCCACTGCTGCATCCTCCTGTCCACAGCCTTTCGCTGTTTTCAGTTCTACTGATTCTTTTGTTCCCAAGCTTAGTCATCAAACCAGAAGCCCAGCCTCATCTTTCAGGTACAAATCATGTCATTACACAGATGCCCATAACAAAAGCATGCCAAAAGCTTTTATAACAAGTCTTTCTTTATCCTGGGGGATACAAGGCAAGTCAGAGTGCCTTTTCTGCTTTTGTTGCAGTATTTCACAGAAACTCATAGTGATAAGTCTCATATCTTTGAAGAAGCTGATTTAGATCTTTGTCCCCACTCTTAACTGGAACAGATGTTTAAGAGAGTTTAAAATCTGATTTAAACTCAGGATCTTGATTTAAAGTTTGTGGTAGTTCTGGCTTTCAAGTCAGTCTTCCTCAGGAGATTGAATCTAAATTGTTGATATAAAAAATAAAGGGGGGGAGGGGAGTTAAGCACATGCTCAGATAGGTGTGACAGAACTGAGGTGTTACATGAGGAATGAGACTGTAGCCTGCTGTACAGAATAACACTTAAAACACTGAGTGCAATATTGATGCCTATACTTTCATAATGCTTTCAGGTTTTAGCATTAATTTAATTCGGTCCTTGAGATATAAGTTTATCTCTTTATACGAAGAAAAAGGCTTCAGCATGGCAAAAATGAAAATAAAGAGAAGGACTGAAAAGATCAAGTGGCACATCTAGAACCAGCATCATCCTGTACACAAAACCCAGCATTCCAGAGGTGGGGATGCACCACCCACTAAAATGAACAGAATCTCTACTGATCCCTTGGCCTACAGCAAAACCTAGTGGACCTCAGCCGATCTTATTCACAGGCACAGGTACTTTCAAAAGAAAACAGCAACATTTTTACGTCATTCAACAGAAGTAAATTATACTCACAATATGGTTACATTTTCGAAACAGATGTCTGTTATGGCTTTATCCACAATAGTCACCTCAGTATCAAAAACCTCAGCTCCCATTCTGAACAAACAAAAAACTGCATAGCGTTGTGATTCTGGAGAGAGCCAAAGAAAGGTTTTATTAGTCATATTGCACAACACAGTGCTGAACACTTCCAGTAAACAAAAGTATACTAAATGGTAATCCACACCTCTAAGGAATTGCCCTCAAGTTCTTCCCACCATAAATTTTCATCATAGGATTTTATGATAATTGACCTATCAAAGCTGCTGTATAGGTACAACAACATTCACAGAGGGAAAAAATACCTACCCCTATGAGTAAAGAAAAAAAACAGTTGAGTAATCAGGTGTAGTTTGTGCTAGCAACCTCAAAAATGTTAGTAAAAATGTAATTTTGTTTAATAAAACTGATTGTACAAAAAAAACCCAACAACCTAACATTTGATCCAAAGTCTGTATCATTTTATGAATGTACTATATAGGATTAGACTATTTTGCCATGCTTTGCCCCTCTGACCCTATTGAAAATCAAAGTGAAATCAATGCCAGGTGACAGCTGGAACAGATTTAGGGTTAATCTCCATGACACAGCAAAATGCATGTACTTGAAGACTTCCCAATAATACACTCAACACCAACAGACAACTTTCATTTAAATTTCTCACTGGAAATAGGCTGCAATATACTCTCTCAAGTGTAGAGAAGACACAGAACAATGTGTTTAATCAGAAGTTTCTCAGTTAACCATTTAATGATATTTTTTTATTGGTTCCTCTGGAATTAGTCTCTTCAGAGAATAGAGTTTAAACATAGAGAAGCACAGGACTTTGAACTAACTCAACTTGCTACAACCAACAACTTCAAGTTATGAGCATTTACACAATAAAGAGCAAAATATAGACCTAATGAAAGGTCAAAGAATGGGGTGAAATGAGTATGGACTTCCCCATTCAGTTCAAATTTACAGGCATAAGCAATTGCTTATCAGAGTAATTAATAATGATCTTACATACTTTCTTTATTGCTGAAGTGATCAGAGCCTTTCCACATTAATGGTATCCGAATATCTAAAGGGAGAAAAAAAAAAGATGGGGAAATTAAGTTACAGTCAATACTGTATATCTGTGATCAAAACAAGTTACAAAAAGTTTCTTGTTTCTTTTTCTGATGTTCTGGTGGTAACAGGACCTTCCACCCAAAGAACAGTGTAACTATTTTAAGTTTATTACTCATTTCAAAAGAAAATTCATCAATTTGAAGTGTCATTTTTGTTTAGAAATTAAGCTAGAATAAAGAATATTTTAAATCTCATTTGAAAGTATCTAAAATAACATCTCAAAGCGGCTGTTTAACATAGTTCTGAGAGGTATTCTCTGAGGCCATTATTATGCGTACATGTAAACTGAAATTCTGCTTGCCTTGTGCTGGAAACCACTCATCCCACTGCAAGAGGAAAACCTTCCTGTTTTAATGAAAAGACCAGGATACTTATACTGCAAACACTTAAGTCTTGCTTTGCTAACCACAGAGAAAATGCCACTTGCAATCACAGTCCCAGTTAGAATTGTCTTAGTCGGCATAAAAAGAGTTTAGAAATCTTTTTTCTTTTTTTACCTCAAAAACATCGTTCTACTTCAGAACCATAGCAGAGAGGCAATTACAGAACCATTATTTTAAATCATGCCTGTCATTTTAATATTAGGAAAGTATTTTCTATAATAAATTTTCCAATTTATCTACTCAATCCAACACAGCACTGAGTGACATTTTCCTCCAGTTCTGAGGACTCAGGTTTAGACCATGTTTCTTATTAGTCCCTTGTCAAAAGACAAATGTAGCGGTGGGGGCTTTATAAATCCAAAGTTGGTTTCTGAAGTACAACCGGGCTGTTTAGAAGTACGTGCAATATATTAAGCGACACATGATGGCAGCAGTGAACAGCACAAGCTCAACTGTCTTTTGATAAAACCCTTAAATATTGTTATAAAGGAGCATTGTTCATCTTCATATGAGGCTGATGGAAAAATCCACATACAGTATGCTAAGATGCAAAACAGTGGTGGCATTTTGGCAACACGTTGTCATGTATTCCTACAGGGGTTTACCCACAAAACTTCCTGTTGATTTAAGTGAAACCGCACAGAGTCGCTCTGTCCCAGAAGTTAAATGAAAAATTCAAATTTAACTTAATTTTGATAATGAGACATATTATTGTAAATGCTATTTCAGTTCTGAAACTTTGAAATTCAGCTGTTTCTAACCATTCATGAAAACTAATGAATTTTCCAGTGAACTGCCAGCAGGCAGCTTTAAACTGCCACAACTTCCTAAAAATCAATACGTCACCATGTTCCGAAACTGCCTTTCACTTCTAAAGATGCATTTGCATACTTAGCATTTCTAACTATTTTTTTTAATAAAGAGAATTACTTTCATTAAAACCATTACAGAAGCCTCTCTCAAACTTTTAAAATACATATATTTATGTCTGTCGTTCATAAAGCACAGAATGTTTCTTAAAAACAACCTTAAATTTACATGAACACATGAAAATAGTTAAAAATAGAAGCCTTTTTTCCTCTTTAATCATAGCAAACTCTGAATGACAATTTCAATGCACTCAATAGGCCTTGTTAGCAATTAGAGTACTAGATTAAAGGTTACTTCTGTATGCCACTTTCAATATCTTGCTAGCTAAAAATTTACACCTTAGTCAGAAAATCATCAGGACACAGATAGTCAATCACTGGGACAAGTTTAACACAATAATTGTAAATCAGCTTTCAATTCATTCTTGGATTGAAAGAGCTGTCATTTATCAAAAACAAAGATCAATTTTCACACACCTTAATTTCAGTTACCATTAGCTGTAAATCCGTGTGGATGCAAATTGGATACATTCAAGCATCACATTTAATCAAATTTAAAGCCAATGATTCCTTTCTGAAATTACTGTAAACCATGATCATGTTTTTTGATCAACATTTAATATACTGCCTTCTGACAAACAAAATCGATTGATACGATAACATAAATTACGTCATTTATTCACACGTGTGGGGGATAAGTAAAAATGATACAAGTGTGAAAATCTGGATTAAAGAATACACTCCCCACACAGTATCCAACATACAATCTGTAGGAGTACTTTCCTCAGTAGTCCTGCAGAGTTCCTCTGGAATTTTTGGTGCTGGTCACATGACCCCCCTTTTTTTGGTAACAGTCTAAGCTTCGGGCATGTACTAACCATGTGATGTGGTACCGGATTTATAAGTGGGTGGATTACTTGATGGTGGAAATTAAGGGCTTAATAACAGGTGATCTGTAGAAAAAACTAATTTCTCATACTAAAAATAGAGTCCTTAAAAAAATTTGATTTTCTAAAGATAGCAGAAGTGTATTATTATGACCCTAAAGTCTTCACTGCAGATAACTCTCCAAATCCAAGGAAGGTACAAACACAGCACAGACAGTCAAACAGATGCTTTCACCCAACTACCATAAGGAGGAAAGACAGATACACATTCTGCAAACAGCTGTGCTGGCAGAAAACATTATTGAACCATGTGCTCATCACTCTTCTTCTACTAGGAGTTACCTTGCTTAAAGATATGACAAAATATTCACAATTAACTGGAAGAGTTTCAGTAGTCAGCCCTTCTACACTATTTTATCCTTAATGAGGCAGGTCAGAGAGCACAAACAGATCTGTTAGTAAAGCTGGCAGCACAGCCACAGGAATGCTGAATGTGGTAACATCCGCTACTGGCACAGGCAAACAAACTAATAAATCCACAGCACTGAAGTTTGAGAACAGGCTAGGAAACAGTGTACCAGCCCACTAGAAATCGCTGTTAAATATTCTTGTCACTAGCCTGCACTGAAGCCGTACCGCTATACCTTTGCTGTAGTCGTGTAACCTGCATTACCTGAGTAACATTTGCATACTAATTATACTTCTGCCCTTAATTTGTTGGACATACCCTGTACTATCACTTCAAAGTCTGTGGTTGTGGGGAGAAAGAAGTTTTCAGCACAGTCACACTTATTTAGCTTTGAAACGCATCCAGTGTTTAGCGGCAAACAGAAAAAAAAAAGTCTTTCCCTCTGCAGAAGGCCCTGTAAGTAAAATGGAAATACAAGGTAGGATCTTCAAAAGCATGTGTGTGACTTTAGCACAAGTTCCCTTGAAGTACTAGGGAATTTATACCTCTGAATCACATACACAGTTTAAAAATACCATATTGTTTGTATAGTTTGTATTACAAGCCACTGTCCAGCCAATTAGCTCCTATAGTAGAGTGACTACCCAGCCACTTACCTGATATGGCAACCTTTGCTCTGCATGCCACCCGGTCTTTTGTCCCATTTTCTGAAGACCTGCCAAAAAAGAAGAAAAGAAAAACAAGATTTGAGATCTGTGCATTTAGACATAAAACACAACTCTTTAAACACCAAAAAGTGTCAGGGTCTTCATATCATAGCTCATTTCAAGTGCTTTTCTTTAAAGTTAATTTTGGTATCTCTGGTTTAAGACATGAGTCATTAGTTTCCTAAGGATAATCTGGAAGGAAGGTACACCATCAATTTTCTTAATTCCCTAGAAGATTTTACTCCAAAGCTTATATAACCTGAGTATTAAAAGACAAGTAGATTCATCTTCCTTGTCTTTTCCAGCTCCAACAGGACCAAATATGTTATCAGTTTTTCCCTTCTGTACGCATCAGCGGAGATGCAACTTAATTAATCAGTTCTATTATTATTTAGAGAATTGCCTCCTCCTCTATTAATAGAGACTTATTATAAAATGTTGCATTTTAATTTTCCATGCAGGCAGTTTGCTGTAGACCTCAAAGTCAACCTTAAATTGAATTAAAAAAATCTGTGGATAATGAGTAACAAGAGTGCTCTCCTCACCTCTGCCACTGCTCCTAACACCTAACCAGATAAGGAGAAATGAAAATTTCTAGCTGCTACCAGTATCATGACTTTCAGAGGCAGTTAGAATATCTTTGCAACTCACAGATTACAGACCCACACAAGAAGTAACAGGAACAACATCCATTTGAAAACCCTAGAGTGAGAAAACTCAGTCACGATTATGCTTTAACCAAATGCCAGTCTTGAGCAAACACCAAAAGAAAGAACTGCAGATGGACTATCAACTATCAAAGATACAATTTAAATGATAGAGAAATAACACTATAGCATGCACCATTTCCAACAACCTCCACTGAAAACTCCAGGCACTCCTGAAGCCCGAACTTTAAGCAATGCAAGACAGTCACTAATCAAGCAAACAATACAGCTGTTCACATGCATCTCCAAATGTCTCAGCCCTGTTCCAGATATGTGCCATCACCATTCTGTGGTCACTGACATCAAAGACAAGGTGTTGAGTAAATCAGCATGTATCCATATTTGATATTATTCCATCACTAAAAACATAAATAGTGAACCACTATAAAGATCTTCATCTTAGTAGGCAAAAGGAATACATCCACAATAATTACAGAATACCACATGTATTACGTGCTAGTTTTCAAAATCAACATTCAGATAGAAAATGCAGCTCTTTCCTCCAACAAATTTCTCCTATAAAACCACATTTCTGAAAGCAAAAAGTAGCAGAACTCTTCCCACAGATACAGTTAACTGGAGCCAAGCATGTATCAAAGATTTTCTATGTTAAACTGCAATATAATATTCCATTAAATTAATTACCTGAGAGCAATAGTGTCTCTGCACCATAATTCTCAACATTGCGTCCGAAATATTCAGTTAGGCAAAAGAATTATAACATTAATCATATAAAGCATGTATACTTTAGCTCCTTCAAGAGTAATAATGTGAAAATATTTTCAACTAATTTTTCTTCCTATTCAGTGTTGTTTTTATCAGTTCGCTGTAGTTAACACAAGTGGCCAGCAGAGGGTACCAATTAACCATGATGGTTCCCTCATTAAAGGGCCCTTAGTAACAATAAAAGGAGAAGTAGAAATACGTCTATTCTGACTTAGATAGCTTTGTTTTGTTCCTTCAGACTTGGATAGGTACCTTTCTGTATGCTAAAGTTAATCAAGAAAATATGACTATTGTATTACTTGATACTGAATTACAGTTCAGTGTCAATAATCTACCCAGAAAAATATGGCTAGTATTTAATTTTCTAAAGTAAAAAGATTATGGAATGGTCTTATAAAGTAATGTTTTAAGGCAGCTGTAATTTATGGTTATATGGGGGGAAAAAGGAAGGAAGAGTTTAAAGGAAGGATTTAAATCCACTTTTCTTAAACAGGTTGCTAAAAATTCACGTAAATAAACGCCTGCTGCACACTGCTGCCTTTGCATTTGAGCTGTCATTACTCACTGCTCTGCAGCTCTGCACGGGCCTGGCTCTCCTGTTTGGCTCTGTAGCTGTGTCCTGTACGCCCGTATCCGAGCGTTGCAGACCATCAGGCTCTTGACCGCACGCAGGAGCTGGTCCTTCTGGGTGCTCACTGCCAGCAGTTTGCAGATGCCCTCGCGCATCCGGATCTCAAAGTCAATCTTCTCCTGGATGTCACGTTCCTAGAGGTGCAAAAATGACAAGAGGTTAAACAAAACAACAACTAACAATATTCCTGAATTTTTAACAGGCTCTTCTTATTTCACAGTTGGGGTAGAAAACTCTAGGTTTTAATTATGAGCAGCTATTGCAATGATTAGTGAATGATAGTTTTCTCTTCACAGACAAAAGAGTAAAACAAGGGATGCAACAGATTCACTATACCCATTACACATGCAAATTCCAAACCAGGTAGTGAGATGAACTCACTGTAGCATCTGAAAGTTACTCGTGTCATTCACAGAAAAATAACATATGGTCTTTGAGAGGCCTGACTGAACCAAACTTATGAATTAATACCCCACTTTTTGCAGTGATCCCTATTAAATAAACTTTAATCTGAGAAAAATGTCTTAAATATTTTAAATCAGAAATTCAATCTCATTACCTCTTTAGCCATCTGAAAAAGAGTGAAGAAAATAGGAAGGTTTTTCACTTCTGGTTGATATAAAATTCAGGCAAGAGAAGAAGAAAAATAAAGGAGACTATCCCAATATTTGACTGTTTCAGGCCATGAACTGAAAGTCAGACAACTGTGGTAGCTTCAACCCTATACAGGGATCATGCCATGCACAGTTTTCATTCAAAGTATGAAATAAGCTAAACTTGCCTGAAAGTCATTAGAATTCTGCATCACTGTTTTTTGAAGGAGTAGGATTTTTTAAAGGTATTATAAAAACTTCAGAAAGTTAACTTTTTTCTGCCTATTTTCAGAGAAAACAAACATTTTTAAATGACTTGCTACGTCAAAGAGGTCAATCCACACTGATCCAGAAGATAAATAAGGTGAAGGATCACGCACAGTTTACTGTCTCCCAAAGGTGTGCTAGACGCCACTGATGACTGACACAAATTTCCCTGTTATGAGGCCATTCCTGGCCAAATCAAATATTTCTAGCACACGAAGAAGAGAGTGTTATCACTGTATTGCAGGGTAGCATTACAGATAAATTGCAAGTCAGTGACTAGTTAAGTTTTGTCAACACTAAGCAAGTATCCCAGCTACATCTGGAATTGCCAGGATCGTGTCAGTTTTCAGGTTTACAGTCTGAACCCAAAACAAGCACTTGGGCGATGGATCTATAAGCAGTTGTCTGAAACTTGTGGTACAGTTTCTCATTTTCCTCAGATAATAAAGGAGGTGGGTTCCTTTCAGCCACGATGATAAAGACCCCAGGCTTGTGCAGCCAGGTAAAGCAGGACAAATATATATTCTATGAATCTGCCAGCATTTAAGGCAATTTAGTCACACAGTGAGAACACAGATGATGAGTAGACACCACCATGACAGAGGAAACTAATAAGGTGTAGAGAACTCTCCAGAAAATAAGAACTCTCAATCAGAGACCCCATGAGAAATGCCTGGAACACACACAGGTTACCATGACACAGGCTCTCTGGCACCAGTGGGTTGTTTTGTGGTGAATAGCTCCCAAAGGTCTTATCAGAGGTGTTTTCCATAGAAGTTCTGCTGGTATTCCCTACAGTTGATATATGAAGGCCTGGAACCAGTATGGCACTGTAGACTACCCCAGTTTTCCCCTTTTTAAAGTTGCTTTTTAAAGTTTCAATCACAATCAGAGCAGAATAAAGCAGGGCACCAACACCTCTGCATCCCTAGCATCTGCTTCTCTAGCCACACTTTTTTTCAGGGCTCTTCCAGGAAAAAAAAAAAAAGAGCAATAAATAGCTTTTGTCAATCTTCTCTTATTCTGAGTCAAATTTTACACAGTTACGAAAACCTAAGCCAGGCCTACACCCGCCCCTAAGAAATAATTACTTATTCTTTGAGCCTATGCTTATAAATCAGCTGCTACAAAGCTCGGAAAAAGAAAATAGTACTTCCTCCTAATATTTCCCAGGGCAACAGCCCCTGCTCCTCTCCACATCTATCACCTGGTACATAAATATGGTGAGGAAATAAACACTCCTAGTTTGGGGCATCTGCATGTATCCGTACTGGAACTTTCAGAACGATGCAAAGCATTCAGTCCATGTTACATCTCAGCCAGGCTCACATAAAAAAATTCCAGACTAGCAGTAAATGGCTGTTGGGCCACAGCTTAAATAACCACACCATATAAACCTTATCTGAAGGAAGAACTTAGCAGCCTGATTTGGAATATATAAAGTTCTTTGTGCCTAGCAAAAATGATTGGTCAGCTTTTCTTTCTTTTCCCATTCCTTCTAAAAACATGAGCACACCATCTGGACTTGGAGGAACGATTCAGCACTGTTTTGCCATATGCTGTCTACTACTGCACTGTTTCCCTCGTGGTCTCCATCCTTCCCCACCAGCGGCAGCACAACACAGACAAGATTACTAACAGCTGCTGAAATTTTCAGCCCCATACTCAGGAACTGCCTCAGCAACACTTCCAGAAAGTGTCTTTATATTCCCCACCTAAGTATACCAAGTGTAAGAAATTTCAAAGGATTTCTAGTTTTACATAGGTAATGCAGCCACAAAACAACCAAAGAATTCCAACAAGAGCTAAGAAAAATTATATGGATGCTGCTGAAGGCAGGACAGATTGAAATTTTAGTTCATTTAATTGGTAACGTAATCACAGGCTTTCAGAATCTTATTCCAAGGTACACTTCTGATTTACCATCACAGTGGCTTACATCTAAACCCTGTAAGTCTACTATATTTATTTAAAATAAGCAAGTAGCCAGGCAGTGAGTATTCTTCTAAAACAGGGGCTGTGAAGTCAAGATACCAGCTTGTGCACTTTGCAGCTCGACACTGGAATGAGCGCTTGCTACAATTGACAGCCACAGCTTTACAGACGCTGCCGAGTTCAACCAATTCAGGTTTGTAACCGATTCCAGGTTTAAAAGGACACAACTCGCTGACGGAAAACCAACGGCTGAACGACCGAAGAGGTGGAAGGACCAGCTCCGAGCACGGGCAGAGGGTGAGCGGAGAGCTCAGCCCTGCTGTGCCAGGGCAGCCCGTGGCCGCCGCGGACCCGCCCAGCTCGGGGGCAGCGCAGCTCCCGAGCACCGCCCGCCACACCCACACCGATACCACCCCCGCGGGCATCGCTGTGCGGAGTTGCCCTGCCCTGCCCTGCCCGCCCGGCCCCGCTGCTCACCGGCCCGCCCGGCCGCTCCATCCTCATCAATGTGCTCAGTCTCGTCCTGCGCCGCGCCGCCGTTCAAACCTCCCGCCCCCGGCAACGGCTGCGACGGGACCGCCCTCGCACCGCCCTCGGGACCGCCCTCAGCACCACCCTCAGCACCGCCCCTCACACCGCCCTCCGCCCCGCACCGCCCCTCGCACCGCCCTCGCACCGCCCCTCACGCTGCCCTGCCCCGCACTGCCCTGTCCCGCCCCTCACACCGCCCTCAGTACCGCCCTGCCCCGCAGCGCCCTCCGCACCGCCCCTCACACCGCCCTCCGCACCGCCCTGCCCTGCCCTGCCCCGCCTTGCCCTGCACCGTCCTCCGCACCGCCCTGCCCCGCACCGCTCCCCGCATCGACCCGGGCAGACCCTCGCCGGGACACCGCTCACGGCCCCGAGCACCCGTGTGGCTCTGCAGGGACACCCGCAGCAATGCATTAGCGCTATGGTCTGTTACTGACCGCGGCATTAAACCCGGGATGTTTGGCTACAATAGCGAGTGCCAGTAATAAAGGCCGAGACAGAACCTCCCTTGGCTCCCTTGTTCCTCATTTATCTACTTTTCTGGGAAAGGGCGATGACACCTCTTTCTGGCGAATGCTCTTTAGGGGAGCTGGGAGGAGAGGCTCATGGCAGCTTTGCTGCTCCAAAGCACGCCATGAATTTTTAAACGTGTTCTTGGTTTTCTGCAGTTCATCTAATTATGCATCTTTAATATGCTGGTACTTCAAAGCTGCACTAGTAGCATGTATTCTGAAAAGTATATTATACTTTTATATACTAAATAAGTACATTAATTATGTTATTATATATTACGTGAATAAGTGCAATCCAATTATTCGTTGGATTGACTGGAGATGAATGGGAACCATCTCTCTCTTCTGCTGCCAGTTTTGCAGCTCAGTCTTCAGCAGATGAAACAAATGAGCCAAAACAGTGTCTCCCATCCATCCCTCATACCCGATTTCCTGGCTTTCCTCTCTGAATTCCTCCTCGGCAGGTGATGGTCAGAAGCACAGATCCTCATTGCTTCGCACATGGTTGTCAACATTTGTGGGAAGTAAAATGTGCTGGAATGAGTGAGATATACAGTGTTGCTAACAGCTTTCTACAGAAGACAGAAGTCTCCAGGCTAACATATGCTTATTTAAAATATAAGAAAATGTAGTTAGAAGGGAAAAATTTTAAAAGCCTCATTGCTTGATCAGGATTTCACATAGGTGCTCTGCAGCTCTTCTTGCCCCCTGACATTTACAGCTGGGGCCTAAATGCAGGGGTCTAGCCTTGATGGAAAAACATGAACTTCTGGACCAAAGGTACGTATTCCTTGTTGCAAGGCAGAGGACAGGGAGCTCCGCTTCCCTCCAACTTGCTCAAGTGTCACCTGGAGGCAGAAGTTGCAGCAGCAGCTGTTCAGCAGTTCCTGTCTCCATCTTGGACCATGTTTCTTAGTGTAAGGAGGCATTCAGAGCTTCATTAAACACCTTCATTCCATCCTGAGGTCCTCTGTATACCATTGGCAGGATGCATGCCACAGCTGGGAAGCACTACCCTAGGTTATTTATTTATAGACACTACATTCTTTTCCCGTGTTTAGATACTCCCTTCTGTTCTTCAGGTACTGTGACTTTCCCAAAATAAGTCTTTCTGCAGTACATCCAGTGGAGAAATCCCATCAGGGTGCCAAAAGGCTTTTGCTTAATCGAGCTATGATACTTAGAGCTGTATATAAACAGTCAAGATATCTAAGAGTGAGTTCGAGGGAGATTGAAAGGAAAGTCTCCATCTAATCATGGTGCTTCATGCATCCCAGCACGAACCTTGGGTTCCCATCTCTGATGCAAAGTTCAGGATTTCAGACACATCAAGAGAAACCCATCAAACGAGGGGGGAACATGAGATGCCAAATTAGAGTGCCCTTTTGACTTACAGTAAGGCTTGTCTCTTAAGATGTGGTCTGGTCTCCCCTGAATCAGTCAGGGATGGGATTTGAGGCTCAAAAATCTCCAAGTGATTTTCTAGGCTACAGAAAAAGCTAGAAACAAGAGCATGTCATGTAGTGGAATTGAACAAAGCAAGTGAAAGTCTCAAGTTAACTGAACTGTATCATCCTTGAAACAATGTTGACCAAAGTAAGTGAGGGTACAGCCTCAACAAATATTGATGGCTGAAACCCTTTGATGAGTTTGATGTAAAATCTGGGAGCAGCTGGAAGTGATAACCTTACTGTAGAGATAAACATATAAGGAAAGAATTACTGTAACGCTACCTTGCCAAAACTCATTCACCAACCCACAAGATGGTGCACTACCTCAGAAAACTAATGCAACCTGTGAAAAAGACACACCAGAACACTTCCCACTCAGCACCATCCCAAGCAGTTCAGGTTAGACTCCTGGTTCAAGCCTGGAACCCACTGGTTCAAGCTTTCCAGAAACACTCCCTGCCAGCCTCCTGAGAACAGCTGTCTCAGGTGTGCACCGAAAGGGTTTTGTCAAAAGCCAGAGTGACTACATGGACACAATAAAAATCACTGCAAAAGGACAAGTAATGCCCAAAATTATTCCAGGCAATCAGCATCTTTAAAGCCATTTTTGCTGGTGGTGTAGACAGTTCCCAGGAATCTGTGGCAGCTGTCCAAGAATTTTAGGAGCTAATTAGCATGGTTTTGCAGTACAGTCTGTTCAGCAAATCCTACCCTTAATAAAGTCCCAAAATGTGACTGCTAGCAGCATAAAGAGCCTATGCCTGCAGCCCTTACACATTCCTGCTGACATTGTCTTGAATTGGAACCCTTAAGAAAGCAGTGGGAGTTAAATGTGTAGGACTCAGCCCTAAGCAACACAAATAGTGTCTTCCCAAGCTCAGTGCATACCTGCTCTTCAGCTGCTTCAAATGTCCAGTTTTCCACTACATTAGGAAAATGTTACTGCAAAGTCTGGCTTTTCACACTCTTGTACCTGCTTCTGCTTTGGTCCTCCTTCATATTCACTTTCTGGAGACATTCATTTTTTTTGTTATAAAATTCAGTGGGTCAGAGGCTTAATTAAAAAATTAAACATTTCACCAGACTTCTAGCTCTATCTTTTAAGGGAACATGAGACTGAGGCTTTAAAAGGCATTTCTGCAGGTTTTGGACGAGGCGAGATGTTCTCTCCGCACTCCAAGTCTGACTCCAACAACACTCTCCTGCTGCTGCTGCAGCACACCAAGTAACTTAAAATGAAGAAGGCTTTATGCCATCTATGTTATCCAGAGATTTGGGATTCAGCTGGCAACTATTCTGCTCCCTAGCTGAAGAGTAATTCCAGCAGACAGCAACAATCAAAAAGGAAGCATTGTAATCGTTTTTTTTTTCTCCAGACAAGCCTCCATTGAAGGGCAAAGAAACCCAAGGCACAACCTACAAAACAAGGAAAATCCTGCACAGTCACTGCTGCTAGAGCAGAAAAGTCATAATGGGGGCATAGGGGGAATTAAATAGGGGATCTATATCCTGCCTTCTGGGGTTTCTTAAGTGAAATATTCTTTTCACATGAATCACACCATCCTTTTGTTTGCCACTTGATTTGCATTGCAAAGCATTTGGCTTCCTTCTAGTATTAGGGAAACTGGATAGCAGAGGAAAGATCGTTGTCTATCTAAATCACTGTTCTGCTCAAGTGTTAGATCAGCATATTATTTTAAATGTTAGGCCCATCATTTTGGCTTAGCAGGTACAAAATGTCTACACCTACTCTTGACAGCACTGCAGTATTTTTCTTAATTTCTTAGTTCCCACAGCTTGCTACACCTACTCCTTGAATATCATCAGAGTGTGCCAGTAGAAATCTACTCAATTCCTCTTCAGATTTATCCTCTTCAGATTTAGTCTAAATGGAAATATATGAAGATTTGTACTGGACACATGGGAAAGAATTTGCAAAGGCTTTTTATAACTGACTTATTAATTTTAAACTGAAAAGCAAACTGTTGCCATTGATTGCCACTTACTTTGTTTACCATGGTATGTGACCATTGCAGATTGCTCCAATGGGCAGAGACTGGAATTCAGGGTGTTTATCTCAGTGCTTACTGGAGCCTCAGTAACTCATTTCTTCATTGCAGCCTGCTGAAGCCAGTTGAAGTCTTTCCATTCTCGTAGCTGGGCAGAAAGGCAACATGTAGATCTACAAAACAAATTAGGTACAGGTAATACCTTACTGTAATGAACTTCAGTTTTGATTAGATAAGGTGAACATTAATCACCTGGCCAATGACAGTGAGCTAAAGCCCAACCCCATCAAGGTGAAAGCAACGATAAGAGAAAACTTTGTAGGCTCCATCTTACCTACCTGAGCAGTGTGAAGGAGGTATCTTCTCTAGGGTAGTCATGGAGCCAGTCGTTGAAGGCATCATCCTGTAACATGCAGGTCTCTAAATCAGCTAGGATGCATCATCCTTACCTTTCCTGGATAAATAGATACAGAGGCCAGAACATCCTAGAATAAACTCTTACAATTTCTGGTGTTCTCAGATTAATTTTACCCCAAGAGCTTTCTCATCTTCTGCTCAAGGTTTTTTAATGTTCTGCAGTCCTCCATCAACTGCTCCAGTGCTTCCAATGGCACTGGGGTCGCACCTCTGTATGATGCCATCAGCAAAACTTTGATGCCGGGTGCTTCAATGAACTATTTTTCGATCATTTTATGTTTCCATAGGATTTCTAAAAGAAACTGTAGAAGGCTAAAAAAGTATGAGGAATTATTTTTCCTTTTTCCGGATAAGATTCCAGAAACTGACTCCTCAAAGTATTCCTGACATCAACCAGATCCTGAAATGCCTCCAGATTGAATTGCTGTAGCCTTTTTAAGTCACCACGTATGAGATAAACGCAATCAAAATACTTTTCATAACAAAAATTGTAAGTTACAAAAAATCCACTCCTATATGAATTCGGAAAACAGTTTCTGAGATCAAACCGGAAAACCTTAAAAATCAAATAAAACACTACATGACTTTGAACTGCAATTTGATCATCATCTATATCTTAAAGTTGCTCCTGCACAAGACAGGTGATGAAGGGTGGTTGACTGAGGTAGACCAGTCACATGTGTTCCTGTGTGTCTGCTTGGGAGAATTGGGGCATTGGTTTCGAAGCCAATTCACATGCGGTTCCCACACAGATACAGAATCAACCCCATCAGAAGTATCCTGTTGGACAAGGATCCTCACTGGTGATTGACAGCTTCACTAGAAGCCTTTCTCCAGCTGAGAAGACAATGTGCACACACAGTGTCTAACAAAGCATGAGTTTTTGCAGCCTTTCCCTAAGTTTAGAAATTTATATGGTCTCTCTTTCCAATTTTACTTCCTATCTCAACAGCTGTTGAATGAATGAAATTATCTTTAGTTCCTTTCAAAATCAAAGTTGGTTGAAATTGGCTGCTTGGATCCACTGCTAATAGGGGGACATTTATACACACACAGAAAAATTATGGTCACGCAAAGATGATACTGCTATGGAAACGCAGCGAGGTCCTTTCAGCTGCTCCATATTAAGGGGATGTTCAGTACAAGAAGGAGTTCCTAGAGATTCTACAGTGTCACTCCCATGGTATGCCTTTGACCAGGATTCCTCTGTTGGGCGCAGAGTCCTGCTTTGGTTTCTTGTGCATTACTGCAGGTGGCATTTGGTGTATAAAATATCCATCTGAGACATCTGCATCCAGCTGTTTGCTGGGCAGCAAACTGCTGGAGTCACCAGTTTGTGTCATGGGAGAATCTAACTGGGCATTCTTTATGTTCCGGTTTCAGGATCAGGCTGTTATGATTTTTCCCAATTGATATTGCACAGGCAAATGAAAAGTCACTGGATCATTTAAATGGATTTCCATTTTGAATTTGAAAGGGGGAATAAGTGCACTGAGAATATCACAAATCTAAAGATAGACTCCTATATGAGAATATAATGACAGAAAATCACCTTCCTTTTGATAGGCAAAGGACTACAGTGTATAGCTTGGAGAGCAGATGCAGGCCCACTTCTTGCAGCAATCTCCCAGGAAAAAGGAGCAATCCTCCAAGTTGGCTCTGGGATTGACTTTTTTCTTTTTTTTCTTTTTTTCTTTTTTTGTCCGGAGGTAGATACAGGCTGAGTATCTGCAGATGGTCTCTGTTTTTCCCACACAATTTAGAATATCTCTGCAGAAAACAATACTTGGCAAACAGTCTCTGCCTGAAGTGAGTTTGTAATCTGGTCTGATTTTTTCCAAGCACTGGAATGTAGGTATCTAGGGAGAGAAACATGGCACTGCAATGTGCTCTGAAGGCCAAGCAATATAAGCTGCCCTCTGTGCAGCCACAGGCACTCAAGCTCCCCCTGCGCTGCAGCATTGCTGAGGAAGGAAATTGTGACTGTCCCTTACCAAGGCACATCTTGGGGTGACAGCTGTTTTCCCAGATAACTGAGGCACAATAGCCCAGTGGACTAGTGAATCCATTTCTTTGCATTTCACACACTTTTTGGATTGTTTTGTTCCTGTGTCAAGGAGGATATTCAAAGAGGCATGGTAGAGATCTATACTTCACTGTAAACTCTCACTTTGCCCCAAGAAATGTTCCTCATCAGTAAGAGATTGGCTTGTCTCAATAGTTTTCCCCGTTACACTTCAGGCTATAACCATCTGCAGCTCTGCAGTTTTTCCTGCCTTGCCACAGAGCTACAGTTTTTCTGCATTTTTCTAAGTCCTGAGTTGGGTTCCAGCTGCATAAACAGACATTTGTCATATGGATCAGGCCAAGGAAGAGCAAGCCGAAGCAAGAAGGCAAATGTTATTTCATGAAAATATAACAGTAAAAAACAAATAACATCTCAATACTATCGATATACTTATTGATATGTGCAACGTAATAACCATTTGAGATTGGAAATTTCTATCCGAGGTTTTAAACCTCTGGCCCCTAAGGAAAATCTGGCTTGCAAATTATGCCCTGTTTCTTACAGAAATAGATACTGAAAAAGTAGTGAGCAGTTCATCCACTCAAGTGCTTAAAGAAATACATCCACAGGGATAAGAGGATTTAAATTTTTTAGATCTGACAGTTAATTTTCCATTCTGAGCATCCCTAGTCCCTGTGTCTCCACCAAACTTCCCCCTAAATCCAATCTCTTCCTCTGCCCCTGTGTGGAGTGCAACACCTCTGTGAAATAACTTGCTTCCACGAAATCTCAAAAGAGCCATATTGTAACAAAAATTATTTGCCACGGCACAGCAGATTCCGGGACCCCATTAGGGTGGTAAGGCTGTTCCTAGGAATAACCCCAGTGTCGGAGACAACAGCTTTTATACAGGTGATGATTTTTTGCTGAATCGTTGCAGTGTTGGATTGAAGTTGTCCATTCACATGTAGGAGGAACTAAAATATTGTTTAATAAGGTGGAAAGATCTAAGGAGAGAAACTTGCTGCAAAAGACACTACGCCCTGTGAATGCCCCCCAGCTGAGGTGACGGGCCGCACACCTTCTCTTCAAGCTCACCACAGCTTCACTGAGGAAAACCAATCCAGGTACTTCTTCCCTTACTCCAGTTCCCCTTGAAGTCAAACCATGGGAGAGGATGGAATTGGGTTGTACCTGTGCTCTCCTCAATGTGAGATGGAAACATTTCTTAATAGTATTTTTTCACCTAATAATATGACGCATTTTTACTCACCATTATGAAAAATCAGGGATTGAATAGCAAATATAAGTAACTGTATTTTACCTGAGGTTGGTTTATCAGAGATTTCTGTCATCCTTCTAACCATATTACAGCTTGTAATGAGCTGAGACAACACTTCATGTCACCATTAGGATTTTAAATCATGAATTATGGTAACAACAAATAGCACCTCATGCTTTTACAGACAATTTCATCTAGAAGAATAAAAATAACTAGTTCTGCCTGGATGCATGCATGACTTACACACATGCACATATTTACTTTCTTATTTTAAAAATCAAATTCAGTTCTAGGAATTATTTCTAGCACTTGACTCTAACAATGTGTTTGTATGATGTCATCAAAAAAACAATCAGGCTGTTTAAAGAAAGACCAACAAAGAGCAAGTAAATTTTTCATAACAGGTTCTTTCAACAGCTAATGCAGACCCAGAAGGGAAGTTATCCAAGTGTGATCTGGGACAGAGAGGATCAGCTGTTTAAGATAATTCCCAAATACTTTTGTGCAAACTCAGTTTGTACACTAAGGCAGTTTTAACCAACAACTTACATTCTCCGCTTTCTTTTATTCTTTCCCTATTAAGAAATGTCTTTCATGTCCCTGTCCATCAACAATCTCTGCAACACTGAGTCATTCTACTTACACAGATAAGGCATTAGATTTTGTGCAAGAAAGCGTGAGCAAAAAAGCAAGGCACTACCTAACATGAAGACCATTATTACTACATTTATCTCATAGCGTGGACACTCACTATAGGGGACAGAAGCCCTTTACCTCAGGGCAGGAAGCCTGTGAGCTTTGGCTTTCAGGTGCAGTTGGGTGGGGTAGGCTGGGCACTCGGTGGGCAGCAAGAGCTTTCTGTGGTGGCACCTTTTCCCTGGGAGGAATCTTCATTTGTATCGGTTTTGGGGAGGTGGGAAAGGCAATTGCAGTGCAGGGATGAAAATAGGGAACAGCAGCCCTTTGCCCCCAAGAAAGAAAACCTGTAAGCTTTGGCTTTGAGGTGCAGTTGGTGGGGCAGCCTGGGCACTCCCTGGGCAGCAAGAGCTTTCTGTCCTGG